AAGCTGTTAAAACGAAGTGGCAGTGCCACCGCACTAAAGCCAGCAGCATTCATAGCTCACCACGTTTTGAGGTCCGGATCAGCCCCCCCTGAAGAGGAAGCAAAGGAAGCCCAGACCGAAGGAACAAGTGTCCGTTTGAGAGGTTGCTGCACGCCGCTTCTGGGGGTTGAAAGGATGCAGACACTCGGTGTCTGCCCTGGCGTGGCTTTTTTAAAGATGGAATGGGTGTTTTTGAGGTTTTTGAACACTCAGTTGTATTGCAAGCAGGGAAGTGGACACAGAAAACTTCAAAAGCAGACTAGCCAAAGCTTTGCAACTAAGCAGAGATGCAAATGGTTCATGAACTAACACCAAGCGTCCTTGCTCCTGCTAACGGCTTCCTCCCACGACCACTAGCACAAGGGTAAAATCATTAGCCTCAGCCTCTTGTCAGCCCTTTTCTACTCATCTGCAGATTTCCGCAAGATTTGCACAAACACCGAGTTGCTGACATACCTCTGCACTAAAAAAGTTGGCTGACACCAAACAACAGTTGCAAAAGGTATTAGAGGAGTATTGACAAAGATACAGACCTGCACGGATATCCCATACAGAGCAACCTTAACTTGTGTCTGCGAGCGGCCAGGCTAACAGACAGAATTGATTCCTTTGAAACCAACTTCAACCGTTATCAAAAGAGTTATCTAAAACAGAGTGCAAACATCACGTAAAACTGCAGTTTTTAAGAGAATACACCATAAGCAAGAGCACTTGGAGGATGGAACAGATGACATAATACATCTTTCCAGCACTGACTTTTGTCAACAGGTGCCCAGAAAATGCACACCGTAAAAAAACACAGCAGCCTTAAAATCCATTCAGATTGTTTTCCAGCAAGTTTCTCACTGCCTGCCCGCTCTGCTGAAAAACATCTGTTCCCAAATGAAGAAGCTACAGACAGAGCATTTCTGGAAGTTCGAGCCAGCAGAGAAAGAGCGTATCAGTATTGCGGCATGAACAACCCTGAGCAGCCCCCACAAAGCGTCGTCCCGACTGGACAGAGAGGCCCAGCAAGACTGACGCCTTTGTACGAATCAACACCAGGACACGAAGGGGGTCTGAACGCTAACAAGTCATCCCAGCGCACCCTGCCCGAGCTAACAGCTGCTGCTGCAGGGTGTCAGGCTATCCAGCGTAAGCCTGAAGCCTACGGGACTGCAGTTACACAGCTTGCAGACCAGAGCTCTTCTGTCCACATGGCTACGGATCTGATGTTCGGCAGACGCTGCCCTGCAACGAATCCCTGCAGCCACCTCTAAGGCGAGAAACGCAGCGCTGTGAGGAAATCAAATCAGAATTACAGAAATCACAGAATGGTTTGGGTTGGAAGGGACCTCAAAGATCATCCAGTTCCAACCCCCCTGCCATGGGCAGGGACACCTTCCACTAGACCAGGTTGCTCCAAGCCTCATCCAGCCTGGCCTTGAACACTTCCAGGGATGGGGCATCCACAGCTTCTCTGGGCAACCTGTCCCAGTGCCTCCCCACCCTCTCCGTGAAGAACTTCTTCCTGATATCTAATCTAAACCTCCCCACTTTCAATTTAAACCCGTTACCCCTTGTCCTGTCACTACAGGCCCTTGGGAAAAGTCCCCCCCAGCTTCCTTGCGGCCCCTTCAGGTACTGGAATACATGTTTGAGGCACCCAACGTTCACCAATTAAGTCTTGCTGTTTTTTCCATCATCATCTATACACGTTGAAACCTAAGCCCTTCAGCTTTTTGAAGGCACCTCTTGCTCTCCGTCTCAAAAGAGATCCTGGTGTCTGTTTTCTGCTTCCAAGTACTGTCACAGCAGCGCGTACATCCCCTCCGTTTTACACTCCTTCAGCGAAAAGGCAGAATGGGATATGCCCAGGGTGCGGGATGCGCAGCTCTGGAGACTCAAGCACTCGGTTTGCGGCTAAGCCATTCCCACGCCAGCCGCTATACAAACCTCTGCCACATCCGCTCACCTGGCAGAGCACCTCTGCACCTCCAGCTCCGTGCCCACACTGTTTTTCGGTCTCGGCAACCGATAACAAATGCTACCAGCACCCTGGTTACGTGGACTCCTGGCCTGTAAGGACGTCTGGTGCTACCAACCCTATTGGCAGAGCTTGCCAAACTGCTACCAGGAATTTCTGGTCTCTGCCAACTGATGCCGGATTTGAACTCCTGAAAGGGTTCACGTCCCCTGTCCTGTTACGCATAACCATACAGTCTCCGTAGGACAGAACCTCTGTTTAAACACAGATGGCCGAGGAACAGTTCAGCAGATCATGGTAAGCTGCGTATTCACTGGGGGAAAAGTTTATGGCTCTCACTGTGATGCTTCTTTCCAGACCTTCAGACTGTTTTGCTTCAAGGGGCCCCCTCTGTTGTGAGCTGCAGACAACTTGGATAATACTTTTGGAGAGCAGGAAGAGGGTGGAGAAATGAGATAAGAGAGACAGATTTGTTGCTACATCTTCTCCGTTTCCCAAAGAGAAAGAAAAGTCAGATTAAAGAAAAACAAAGTGGGACGGATGATTCAAGGGGAAAATAGGGAGATTTCTGGCAGAAGATGGTGATCATGCCAGTCAGCAAAGTGGCCTACACTTAGTAATAAGGCAAGTTTCAAACATCAGAAGTTCTTATCACCTGATAACTGTTTAAATGCTTGTCTGAAGTGAACCTGGTGTCCACAGCCCGCGTCTCAGTACAGGCCTGCTGTATTCACTGTCACGGCAAGTGGCAGCTTTATTACAATAGAAATTCAAGTAATAAATGGGTCAGAGACCAATTTTTTTTTTCCTGCTAGTCGCAGTTTATAAAGTCAAATTTCATACGTGTAAGGGAAAAAACCATCTGTATTCTTGAACGTGTGTATGCTGTGGATAGGGAAAGCCTCAGTCACCAAGACTGGCCCCACTCAGCACTAAACTTGACACTTATTCATCATGAGAAACAAAACACCACTCATTTGACTGGCAAACCTACTGCAGGTGGCTGTACCTTTGAGAAAACCGTGTCAGCTGTACTCAGATTTTCAGATATTCACTGTTCCGGCGCTACCAGCTAAGAGAAGAACAGGTTTCAGAAGAATTCAGAATCATCACTACCTTCGAACTGCAAGATGCACTAGATACAGCACGAGCTTCTGTAACAGTGGTCCACGAGGGAGTAGAAGGCTCTGGGAATAGGATGGTGGTTTGGAAGGTAGGCTGAAGAACTGAACTGTTGTATGGCCTCTGCTCATTAGCTTGGCAATACGACAAACCGACTGTGATTTTGAATGCAAAGCACATGCTTTCCATTTGCAAAGTTATTACACTCTAAGGTGGAGGCGTAGGGAAGGAGGAGAGTGGTACAACTGTCACCCACCTGAAGTCTCCGGACAAGTCCCGTGCATGAGGCCAAACATATTGCCACAAGCCTTACTGACAGCAGCCATCTTCGCAAGAACGGGAAGGTTGTGAATAACAAAGGACACCTCATTTCGCTGCTGCTTGGCAAGGTTTTGTGCATGCCCCAGGATTCCAAATCCTGTGATGTCTGTAGCTGCATGTGCATTGAAAGTGTGCATGAGTCCAGCAGCTGCAAGACAGGGAGGGGAAAAAACCCAACAAACAAATTGAAAAAGGTTATCAGGAAAAGCAGTACTTCATTCAGACTGTGCACAATAAAGTCACATCCCTTCAGTGTCAATCAGGCTGGGTTACTGTTTAAATTAATTAAAAAAAAGTCATGCTTGAAGGGAACTGGAATTCACCAATACTGCATGTAATGCTTAAAAAAATCAACTTAAAGTATTTAACCATGCTGAAAATCCAGCACCAAAGTTGTACCTATCATAGAATCACAGAACGGCTTGGGTTGGAAGGGGCCTTAAAGATCATCCAGTTCCAACCTCTGCTGGACACGTGCTACTAATTTACATTAGCAGGCTAAGAAACAGGGGTTTGCTCCAGATTCCAACTTCCCGAATTTGAGGGTCAGAGAGGTTCTGAGCTCAGCTTTGTTTAAGGATAAGGACCAGACTCATCCTGGTTCTGTTTCTTCACATCTCCTCCCCTGCTGCTCCATAAAAGGATCACATCAGAACTTAGCTTCTGGACACTCGAAGTTTAACAGCTTAAGAACAAAGCCTGCAGGTTGTGGGGGAAGGGCCCAGTCTCCCCCCAACCTAGGCATTCATGAAATTCTTGGGTATTTGCAACTACAGAGCCCCGGCTGGGAGAAGGGCACCCCTGCACGCAGGACAACAGCTCCGGTTAAGAATATGTAAGTCATTACAGGTGCCTGACAAGAGGCTTGAGTGGAGAAAAACCAAAACCAAGAATGCTTTGCCCTTTTTTTCCCTAAGACAATCCCAGCCATTTATGTTTCCTGGAAAACTTTGTAAAAGAATCTAACACCGGTGGGATGACGTAACAAATACCAGATGAAAACTGAATAAATGGGACAAGAGAGAAATCTGACTATCCCTGTTCCTTCAACTGAGAAGTAAGAAAATGCCTAATTCAGTTCTCTGCTCCTCCAAAAATACTTTGAACAAAGAAGGGAAGTTTGGATTAAAATTTTGAGGGTAAAAACAGAACCTTCCCTCTGCCCCAGGTAAAACTAAAAAAATAAACAAACAGGGGGAGGAAAAAAAAAAAGTGTTACATACTCCACACTTTGGGAAGCACATAACATGTCAAAATTAAAAAAAAAAAAAGATAGAAATTGAATTGAAGCATATGGAAATGAAGAGCTTTTCCTTTTTTATTCCATTTTGAGAAATTGTAACCTTATTACAGTCAGGCCATCCCGAGGTCTCTAGGCACAGAAGATAAGGAACAAATCCACTACATTTCCTTTTAAAACATCCTCCAGCTCTCGGGGATGTTACTCATGTCAAAATTAAAAAAAAAAAAAGATAGAAATTGAATTGAAGCATATGGAAATGAAGAGCTTTTCCTTTTTTATTCCATTTTGAGAAATTGTAACCTTATTACAGTCAGGCCATCCCGAGGTCTCTAGGCACAGAAGATAAGGAACAAATCCACTACATTTCCTTTTAAAACATCCTCCAGCTCTCGGGGATGTTACTCGCAGCACTCACATGAGTCATAATCATCTCCAGCAGCATTTGTGTTTTTGCTGTATAATTAAAAGAGGGCGTTGGATTTTCATTTGCTTGCTTCACAAACACTGAACAGCAGAAGGACAGGGCAGAAGGAAGGGATAAAGCGGCTGCATCACATTTCCCCGCAGCAGTGAAACAGAATTAATATGGAAGTGGAAAAACTCCCCCAATGACACGCGTCTTCTTACCTGTTCTGTTCAGTCGTGCCATGTTCATCATTGCTTCCTGGTACGCTAGTTCTACATCTTCTTGCGTTACCACCAGTTTGATTTTATTCCACTTTTCTGGCTAATGGATGAAATAAAGAGGATTCTTTTAGATTTTCAGCTGTATATTTTAAAGCACACCCTTACCACTTCAAAAAAATACTTAATTCAAGATGTACTTGTAATCTGTTGTAGGGTTTGTTTTTTTTTTTTTAAACTCAGTTAAAGAGGGGCAGAAGGTTCAACAGCCTCTGCTGCACCTCAAAGTTCGTTTAGAGATCTATTAGGCACTAAGCACCTCAAATCTTGCATCCAGCAGCTGAGGAGTGGAATAACCACCCCTAGGGCAAAGAACTCCTTCAAGACAACTCTCTGGCTGGAACTTTGGCAGCCAAATTAAAAGAACTTTGGTGCTGGGTGTTGAGATTTATCATCTCTGCCTTCTTGGTTTTTTTAGGAGAGATTTCTTGACTTCACATCTGGACACTCAGATCAACAAAGGTCACTGATATCCACAAGTCCAGGTCTAGGAATGTATGCAAAGGCAGGATGCAATCACCCCAGTGAGTTAGGATTAAGGCAGTTTCATGAGTTTCCTTTACAGTTTAATATCAGCATCTCCTTCCAACCATAGTCCAGTGCCTTGTATGGCTCCATCACATGCTGAGCAACACTCTTCATCCCCAAGAGCTCTCAGAACAATTTAGGAAGTGGTACCTTTAGAAAGAGCAATTGTTTCATTCAAAGCTGAATGAACTCCAGATCCAGAATGAACAGCTAAATAGTTGATTTGATCAAGAGCAACACTACAAGCTTGTTTAATTTTCTCCTTTTTTTTTTTTTTTGCAATGGAAATAAAATTACAGAGAGCTGAAAGTAACCAAAATAGGATTTTTGAAGCCATAATACCTACACCGCCATTCCACAGAATAAATGCATAGAACAAGCTTCTTACAAAACCTGCTAAGAATTGGTACCTGATGCTGCACCAGGGCAGGGTTTTGTCAAAAAGGCCCTTATCCCTCACAAAGGAGCACTGGCTCTGAGGGGTGTGAGAGTGAATCCAGAAATGGCAAGAGGGGGAAAGAGACTAGTCAGCCAAAACAAATCATGTGTTGAAGAGCAAGGAAGTATAGCAGCAAGATCAGAGCTTCTGAAATTAGGTTGAACTGTGACTGACCAATTAAATAAGAAAAGCATTTTTATTTACATAAATGAGATATCAAGCAAAAAAAAAAAAAACAACACAATGAGGCTATTACAGAGATGGCAGAATAGTGATTGTTCTTAACCTGGGTACGACTGAAAAACCTGAGCAGTTATTCTGCCTCAGTTTTCAAAAACACAGGGCTGAGGCTGATCATGGGATGGAAACCAGGCAGATGATGGGAATGGAAATTGCAAATGAGGTGGAAGCAGCACCCACAGTTGAGGCTAGAAGAGCCACAAACACAGGTAAGACAAATCAGATGCAAATTCCTCTCCACCACAGCAGTCAGATATTGGGGTTAGTAAACAGGAAACAAAGGCAGAAAAGCTCACAAAAATCCCCAAACAACTTTTAAAAACAAGTTTAGATTTCCCAGTGGGAAGGGTCAGTAGGCAACACCAACCCCTTTGGTGCTTTGCAGCTGAAAGAGGAAAAGGCAAAGGGTGCCAGTTCCCAGCTGTGCACCAGCCCACACCATCAGCCTGACAGCCACATCAGCCCTCACACAGCCCTGGCCTGGGCCTCTGGGGCTCCGATGGGGCCCAGCTCCTGGCAGACTCTCCGCAGTCTCCTCCTCTGCTCCCTACGGCAGGTGCGGCCCGCCCCACCACAGCTGGGACTTGGCTGCAGCGATGCTGGCAGCAACCAGGCAAAGAGGACAATGTTTGCCTCCATTTGGATCTTCCTTCCATAGAATCACAGAATCGTTTGGGTTGGAAGGTTAAAGATGATCCAGTTCCAACCCCCCTGCCATGGGCAGGGACACCTTCCACTAGACCAGGTTGCTCCAAGCCTCATCCAGCCTGGCCTTGAACACTTCCAAGGATGGGGCATCCACAGCTTCTCTGGGCAACCTGTCCCAGTGCCTCACCACCCTCTCCGGGAAGAACTTCTTCCTGATATCTAATCTAAACCTCCCCGCTTTCAATTTAAACCCGTTACCCCTTGTCCTGTCACTACAGGCCCTTGTAAAAAGTCCCCCCCAGCTTCCTTGTAGCCCCTTCAGGTACTGGAAGGTGCTATAAGGTCTCCCTGGAGCCTTCTCTTCTCCAGGCTGAACAAGGGGCTCATTCGCTACTGCTCTGTTTAAATACCTCAGCTTTTAGGTTGTGGGTTTTTTTAATTTGCAGCCACACCTCTCTACACACCAGTCTTCCTTTCTTGCCTGTGCATAAGCCTGCTGTGCTATGTACCTTCTCCCACATACCTTTCAATACAACGTCAAATTCCTTACCACCGTTTGACTTACGGGAGATTTGCGATGGGTAGTTCTAGTTTCACTTTCCCTGCTCTCTCACAAAACAAAGCTAAAGGCAGAACAGCTACTCAGAAATTTTCCTGCCACAATCAAAGATATATTCTGTTTACACGTAATAGGAGGATTGATTTCCTTGCTGTTCTCGTTTTTCAGACCACAAAGTGCTTCTGGTTGACAGTCAAGGAAATTAGAAGTACTTGAAATATGTGGAAATGCAGAATATCCTTAATTTGCAAGGCTGTTTGTCAGTACAATAAACAGGTATGTTAAGAAGTAAGATTATGGCCAGAAAACATACTATAAAATTGGTGTCTTGTTGTTTCACTTCATTTTCATATCAAGATTATCTGAGGCCCTGATCCTTATATCTGAGCGGTAAACGCAGGATTCTGCACAGGTCAAAATTGCTAGGCCAGACCCTATGAAGAAGGAGAAAAATGTTTTTTTCCTTGTTGCTCATCTTTCAGACTCCAATGAAGGTTTGAAAGCTGGTTCTCCCCCACTTTTGCTAACACAGGCTTTGTAATTAGAATTCATCTGACAGCGTAGTGGCCAACAGCCAAACCCAAGTAGGTTCTAGCTCACTCCTCTGCCAGTCTATTAGCTCAGTAGTCCCAAAAGTAGAAAAGATGCATCTTTTCAAAGTGTAAACTGAGCAGTTGTAATTCTGAAGACACGTACTGGGAGCCAGACAACATAAGCAGATGCCAATTTTGCAGTCACTTTTCAGTTCAGTAGTTACATTTTTGCTTGAAGTAACAGATGGAAGTATGTCTACATACATAATGCTGCTAGAAATATTCTCACTGAATGCACAGGGTAATACATGTGAAATGTAGATACATTTCCATGTACACAAGCAGAAAGCCCGTGAACACAGACAGCAATCTTGGCCTAATTGCTATCAATAAGCTTTTGCCAATTACTTTGGCAGGTGGAGTAAGGCATAATTTTACCCAGGGTGCTAGTCTGTTGTTCTGTTAGTAAACAATTTTGTTTATTACAGCTATGCCCGAGAACTAACTAAGAATTAGATGCAATTAAGATGGGCTCACTAAGCACAAAATAGTAAATTGTCTCGACTCCAAACCAGTCAGTTTTGCACATCAGCAGGTAAGGCTGACACACAAAGGAGGAAGGAGGAGAGAGACGGAAGATGACTCCCAGCTGAGGTCTCAGTGTACTTAATACACTGCTGAACTTTGCCATTTGGAGGGAATGAGGAAGGTCACCTTCAATTCACACCCCTCTTCCCCATTTTTTTTTCCCCAGCATGTACTCACAATATCTAGCCACTGGTGGACAGCTACAGCCACTTGTGTTCCCAAGGGTTTAGTTAATACAAGCACATCTCCTGGCACTGCATTGTCTGGCCTGAAAACAAAGAATTCATATATTAATTACATAGGGAGATTCACACACGTTATTAGGAATAAGTGCTGATAATTACGTTTTCAGAGACCCATGTATCTTGTTGCACAGTTAAAAAAAAAATGAAGACTAATTGCAGAATTACCCTTTGGGATTCACTGCCATGGGGTATTATTGAGCAAACTGCTGGAAACTTATTTAAAAGTGCTAATCTTTTTTTCTTGGAACAGAACAATGCTTGCAGTCAGACACACAAAAAACTACATTTTCTTTTCTTTCAATTGACTGGAGACATAAGATAGGATAGGGAAAAAATTGACCTTCATTCCTCAGGGCATAAGGCAACTGTCACCAGGATCACAAACAAATTCATTTGTAGAGTGTAACATGCCACAGTGGGACATTCAAAATCAGCTGCTGTTACATGAACAGAATGCTGTGCAGGACAGCAACTCCACAGTTCTCTACAGCCATTAAACAGGCTAACTGGGAAATGGTTTAAAATGGGTGTATAAATATGATGGAAATTTATGTCCCAAAACAGTCATCAATACCTTTAAAGGTTAGAAACTCAACTCTCCTGTCAAAAGGAAAATAGGATCAAAAGATACTGGGGGGGGATGGGGAGAAGTAAAAGGACATCCTGTTTAAAAAAGCAAATATGTACAAGAGAGATGTGGCATCTGCTGAGTGCTAAGGACAAATGCAAGCAGGAGAAGGTGCTGCCTTATTCATCAGGAGACAGATCGCAAGATCACACCACAGCATTTAAAGGATTTTTACTGTATCCCTTCAGACCAGTGCCTTTGATTGTTTAGCGATTTAACTTACATTATAAATTCATTAGGCTGACAGACTGTCGTGGCCACTCCTCCTAAAACAATCCAGGGATTTAACACTGTTTGGCCACCAGTAACAGATGTTCCTGCCTCTTCTGCTGCATCTTTGAAACCCTGGATAATTAGAGGCATCACTTTGTCTCTTTCCTAGAGATCAAAACAGAAGTCAGAGATCCGTACACAGCAGTGCTAGTCATTTCAAGACTGGTCCAGGGCTTTTAGTCACGCAAGTCAAATGCCCTCACGGCAAATAGTTCATGACAGAAAAGCCAGTCTTCGGAAGAGGTTAGCCTCCTGAAAATGGCACGTTATCCCATACGGCTATGGCTTTACAGCTCTTGGCAAAAGAGGTGAAGAGACGTTCTTAGGCTGAAGAAACGCTCTTCAAAAGACCATATAAAGAAATCAGAGTTCTGGAAAACTTGGAACAACTATCCTGCTGTTGTAATCAAGGTACGGCCGCAGCACTGCGGTGCGATAAGGCAAACTTAAACCAAGCTGCGTTTGGCCTCCACTAACCTGCGAAGTTCCAACTTACTTCCTTCGAAGAGTAAACATCCCTTTTTTGCTAGAGCAAAACAAACAATAATGCTGGTTACTTCCAGAAAAATTAAAAAAAAAATTAAAAAAGCAATCTACTTTAGTTTCTTCAGCTTGAGAGACATTAGAGCTGGCAAAAGCAAACCAGAAACATCTATCCAGACTGATACATGAACTGATAATCAAATGCTGCCTTGGAGCAATGCTGTCATGAACTGACGGAAGCAGGGACCCCATTTTGGTGGAGATGAAGGTATTTGCAACAGTGGATTACAATGCCACAGAAAAATGAACTTTTAGCAAGTGACTCAGAATGCTTATGAGGCGAGACCCATGCTATGAACTGAGCCATTCAATAAAACCAGCTCTTCTTTAAAAGGGTTCAAAAGTTAAGGAGAAAATACACTAAAGGTAAATATAGTCTAAGCATGTTTAGCTGTTTGGGTCTTCCTTAAGAAGAAATACCAAAAATCTTACCCTATCTGTCATTTTATTGCTGATTCCAAGGAGCATCAACATGTTGTCGCATTCTGTGACCCCCATGGCATAAAGGTCACTTAGGACATTGGCACACGCTATCCGCCCCTGAAAAAAAAAAGACAGACAAAAAAAAATCTGCAGGACTGTTTGTGAACATTCAGACAAACACTTGACACAAACAAAACTTCCAGCGTGATTTTACACAGAGACAGCTGCTTATTCCACAGGCTCCTGCATGAAAAAACCCAGCCAAAGATGTGGTATGATCCGTTATGTGCAACGTGCCCATCTAGAAGTGTGGACATCCGTTCCCTTTACAGGTGAGGGGAAAATTCAAACCCGCTGTCTTGGTCAACAGCCTCTCTCACCGACCACACAGGGACCCCTCGCTGAGTTTAGACTGGATGCCTCATTTCAGAGGCTGAAGTTAAACTTGACGAAGCCTAGCTGTGATAACAAGCCCAGTTTACTTCATGTGGCATGTTCCCATTAACTTTATACCAGCACACACTGATGAAGACGACCCCGATACGTAATTCACAACTGCTGGGAAGCTAATCCCAAAAACATATATTGCTGTACCTCTTCTACATTGGAATACATAGGAGAAAGGGGCCTTGATAAAAAAACTGTTGGGAGTGCCCTTCGTCCACATGAAGTTTTTTGGAGAGCACCCTTCTTCCCAGCAGATACAGCCGTGCAGCCAGCACACAGCCACACTGGGATGCTTGTTGTACCAAGAGGTCAGTAAGTTGTCTGCAGAAGATGGCACGTGGGGAGTTGAGGAGCTGCGGCTCCCAGGAGCCAGCCTTGTCACCCCTTTGGAGCATGCACAGCTGCTGAGGGGAGAAGTCTGCCCCCCACCACTTGTACATGAGGGAGATGTGCCTACGTCACTTGCCCAGGTGACAAGGTAAGGCTGAATTTTTCTACATCGCATGCTTTTTATTGAGTAGCGTGTGTGTGAACATCTCCACGAGCAAAAATTTGTCCAAGAGACCTGGTTGTCTGCTGAAGATTCCTCTAACAAGTCACGAAGATGACAGGGTGAGAAGGGATGCTTTGCATCACACGAGCTTAGCTACTCCAGTTCTACTAAATTAACGGATCCAAGACAGAGTTTGTTGGGGTGTGGACCCAGCACAGATGAGACATCGAGTTTCCTGATGGAGACGTAGAACTTTCTCATACAAGATGAATAGGTAAGATCTTTAAAACACGGGGCAAGTTCTGTTGTGTTACTCTGGAAGACTCCACGCATTTTATTAAGATTGTAGTTCTGCAGATGTAAACCTAGAACAATCAACATCATCTGGTTTTATGATTTTAAATCTGTGTTTTTCATAAAGTTCAGATGCAACACCACCACGATAAAAACCAACATGATTATTCAACGCAATCTGGACAACAGAAATATGCCTTAGCTGAAAGACGGGACTGCAGAGAGGGGGTCATTTGAACACATTTCTACCATCCCCCAAGCCTTACAGTCTAATCACACATCCAGGATTTTTTTAACAATTAATATTTTCAGGCAGCTCCCTCACTTGCAGATGACATGAAATGACATCTCCCAATCACAATTAAATATAATCCCGTTTTTTCCTAAATTCAAGAGCTTCCAGTGGCATCAGGGGAATCCCTTGTATTTGAAACTGGAATATGTTTTAATCATTTAAATATTAAACTATTAAGAGAAGAGTGAGCTGTGTACTACATGGTTTGATGGATATTGGCTGTTACATTTCTAGATGTTTAGCAACACTAAAGCCTGCTATTTTCCTTTTCTGGAAGGGGACTATCAAACCATTCTCCACTATCTTCAGTATTTACCAAGCAAACTGCTGGTTTATGCCCTCTCAGGAATGACAGATAAGTTTTCAAAACCACAGTGGCAACAGCTCTCTCTTCTAGTAGTCAGAGGTCAGTCTAACACCGCTTTTGCCAACTGGCACAACCACTTTGGAAACAAATTCAGGGAGTTCAAGTCTGCAACAGTGAAGGGAGCAATCCGTGGCTTGTGAACACGGACGGACACAACAGGATTCACAAACAGGGGTCAACCCAGCTGGGTCCCACATGCTACCTCACCGCTTGTTTAGTCCCCCCAAAATGCAAGTATTTATGTGCAACACTAAGAACGACTTTCAAGGGTGAAGGATGGCGGAATCACACTCCTGTTCCCAGTCTCGAGTGAGGGTTCTTCTTAAAAGGGCACACAAAAGGCCCCTGGAATGGACGGGGAAGGAAGTCCACTCTCGAACCACGCAGTTTCCTGCTCCTGTACTCAAAAAGGTGTCTCCACAGCACCACAGAGGCCAGTACCAGTCCCATTACCAGTGGCTTGACACTTATTACCAAACCTATTTTAAATTGCTTTCCCAATAACAAACCATTTAGGCTGAAAAGTCCTGTGCTGGACACAGATTTTACAGGTGTACCTCCTAAGGATACTTGAGGCAACATGGGTTGTGTGTTTTCAAGAACAAAGCCAAGGGGAAGTGGAAAATAAGACAGGGGGTTTTGCATGTAACTGCAGAACTTGGGTTTTAAAATAGACAGTGACAGAGTGAGAGAAAGCTAGGATGAGAGGTCAGATAAGGAGCTGTAGGCAGACACTGTGCACAGATAAACAGACTCTAAATCAGGGAAGATCCACCCAAAACCAGGCTAGAGCTGACCAGGTAAGGAGATAGAGCAGAGAACAAGGAGAGGGTGTACTGCGTGTAAGTGATGACGAGAGCAGAGACTGGTAGTGACAGGTATGGGTCAGGGGGTGTCTAGACTGAAAACAGAGGAAAAAACAACTGGAGAAACACGGGAACAGCAGCCTGTCTTGAACACAGGAGTCCAGAGCAGGCTCCTTTATACAGCCTGGACACAGAATTCCCAAGTCTCACCATTCCTCTACTCTTAACAACCATCCATAATCCCCATGGCAAATTGTACTTGACTGTCCTCCAACTGCTGTTGGTCCACACAAGAAAATGGCAATCTATATTGTCCCAGGTACTCTAGTCCCCAGGTGAGAGGTGGGAGTAGAGGATCCAGCAGCTCCAACCCTGCCAGACCATCGCTGCAGGTACCAGCAAGGCTTGTGGCAGAATCCCTGTTCTCAGCTTTCAAGAAGAAATACACATCCATAAACGGATTAGGAAGTGGCATTCATTAGGAAGGAAGAGGGAAGGAGTTCAGAGTTGGAAAACAAGGTTAGTTGCAGGTGCAGGTAGATCACAGTATAGACTGTAACTATGATGCAATCACTGAAGTTGGACTGAGGCCAAATTTACATTCCACTCCTACCACACTGGCCTAATCCTCAGCTGGGCACAGGCTCATCTATCCACTCCTGCGGCACCTCAAACCCTTTTATCTCTAAACAAAACAACCCTCCTCCTTCACCACAGCCTTCTCATGCTGTCCTTCACAAGTTTTCGTCACAAGGTGAGAAAAGAGAGTTTCTCAGCTGATGAAGTTGAACACAGCTCCCTAGTAGCAGACTTTTTTTTTTTTTTTTTTTTTTTTTAAAATCTCAGTCCTTGACAAGTTCCCACACAATGCTAAAGCAAGCCACTTGAATCAGATTTCACAGGAGAGCTCAACAGCTCTACTCCAGAGACCAGCCTGAGGTCTTGGCTGCTCAGTCTGCAGAAAGAGAGCTCTTCTGGAACAGAAAACAAAGGAGCTAGGCTTGTGTATGGGCACACCACCTGGTCAAGCATGCTAAAACAAACGAGCTGGTCCCAACCTCAGTGTTCAAAACCTCCCTGACGGGTCTCAGAACAAACAGCAAACCAAAACCAGCAAATAAAGCATGCAACCATATGAAGAGCAGTAAAAGTATGCCTTAAAGCAGTCACATTCCAATCACTGGAAAGGTGAATTCTCACACTTAACTTTCATGACTTTCACTTAATGAACACCTCCTGCAGAATTCCTTATGGCTTTAAGTCCATTTTCAAAGTTCATTTGTTTCCCCATGACCTTCTTTCAAGGTAATACTGATCACTGCCAAACATAACACCATGGAAGAAACTCTACTGAGGCATACTACAAAGAAACACGGACACAGAAGGAACCAAAGTCAAAGCGCAGGCAACTTCCAACAAGTCATTTCAACTAACCCACCTGCAGGCAGAGGTAGTGAGACAGGAAAGCTGGTGTCGGCAAAGCGCTCTGAAGTCGTCGGGTGCTCCTGCCAACTACTGTCATTTGGGTATTTCCAGTTGTACCATGTTACCTGGTTATTCCAGAACCTCAAAAAAGGCCAATTACAAGGCGGTTGTGCTCCTAAGTGGAGTTTGCTGTCTGCTGCTTCAGAGACAGCTCTTTTTCCCTCCCTTTCGGGCTTGAAAAGCCAAATTCCACAGAACAACAGATGGAGGGAAATTTGAATTCAAAGTGGCAGTTTTCCCAACGTTCATCTTTTTCAATCTTTTTTTTTTTCCCTTCTTCACGTGTGTTTAGGAAAGACCCTGAATGCAGTCAAACAATTAGCACTGCACCTCTAGAAGAAAGGGTCAAAACTGCCATCGCATCAGCGAGAAGCACAAATCCAATCAGCAACATAGCTAACAGTTAAGTTTAGCCAACTTACCATCATATAAGGATCATCCACAATAGGATAAATATAATCTGTTGTCTGGACCAACGACAAACCTCCGTGTCTTAACGGAATAACACAAGTGTCCATCCCAATTCCTGTAAAGACAGAAATCCATCAGTGAGGTGGAATAACTCTGCCCTTAATTATCTGTTGCTCTGAACAAGAGAGCTTGTAAAACACGTCTACGAAATACCATCCTGCCTAAAGAGACATGGCAAATTCCTTCCTTACTAAAAACGCAGAGGAAAACCAAGCAAAGAATGAAAACCCCTGCCTGGAACAGAAGCGTAAACGGCTGAAAGCAAGAGCTAAACTGCAGCAGAATAACAGTGCATATGAACATCTGTGGTTATATGTACGCACGTTTCAAGTCAAGAGGAACTGTGTAAATTGATGCTGTCGAAAGCAAACAGGTTTTCCTGTCACGCCGATCTCAACAAAAATATAGTGACAGTTTTAGAAGGATATAGCCCCTCATGAAGGTCATTTCCTCACTTCAGGAGGAACAAAAAGAAGGCCACAAGTCACAGCCTTGGTGAAAGAGGATTCACCCATTTGGAGCACCTGCAACTGTGTTAACCTTGCTTCCTTCTGTGAGGCCGAAAGGCGGCAAGACGATCTGCTAGACAGGGAAACTCCAGAGAAAACCACAGCACCAAGCGCAGCCTCTTCCCTGACGGTGGACATGTCAAACAGAGTAAGCAGCATTAAAACCTGCAGGCATTGGCTGTGATGCAAGAGCCCTCGCAACAGCGGCAGGTGACAACATGCCCGCTGAGCCCTGTTCCCTGTTGATGCCCCTGTGCCTTGTGGCAAGGACAGGTAGCTTACCTCCTTCCTGGGCTGGCTGCCTAGATTTACTCTGCGTACCTCCCAGGGCAAGAGCCTTCAAACAACCAGCTTTCAGGCAGCAGACACCACACAGTAACTCTTCCCTGTGTACTAATGAAACACACTACCTAGCAAGTGCTACAAGCCAGTACTTGGCAGTGTCCTGCACAGGGCTGGAGTGAGCTGCTACCATCCGAGGTCCTGTTGAGGACACAGAGCCAGGCAGTCCATGTGTAGGTGGAGAGGATTTTGCCTCTCCTGCCTACTAAGGCAGAAGATCTTGCTTTGGAAAAGAGGGGATACTGACAGAAGCTCATGAGCAGTAATTCAGAGTTGCTCATCCTCAGCAGAAGCTACCGAGCCGCCATGCATGATGTCCAGTGTCTCCACAGAAGTGCTTATACACAGTTGCAGAGACATAGCTCGTGTACAGGAGCTGTTTTGCCCTCAGTTCACCTATCAAGCTGTAATGCCGCAAGACTGTTTTCACTTGCGTGGTTTTCCACAACTTCAGCAAAAGTGCTGCTTGACAGACAGGCCCAGGGGCCACCGTGGTCCTTCGGAAGCTGTTTCTCTCCCACCAAAAAAGTACTGACTAAATAAGTCAATCTCTTCAGCAAGGTGACTCAAACCAGTGATTTCAAGGTCCAGAACAGCTCTGAGATTTACGTCAAACTTGCAGTTTTTTTACTCACGGATATACTCACAGCTATATTTAAGACTGCTCTGGGTAACACCACTTGCAGAACTAAAAAGATGAGCCTGCTATTGGCAATTTCCCTCTTGACTGCATCTAAAAAGCATGGTGCATGTGCCAGGCTGTCAAGCCACCTGTATATCCCTTTTAAGCACAAGGTATCAGAGGCAAATAACACCAAATGACAGATTTGTTGAAGGGATACTCGCCATAAAAGCGTAATTTTTAGAGACCTGAACTTTTTACCATCTATTACTAACAGATTCCTGTTACATAATATCATACCTACATATTGATGGCATTAGTCTACTTGTTAACCTTTTCATACAGCTGGAGAAGGGGGGAAAAAAAAAATCTATTAGCAGTTCCATTACTATCTGAAGCCCCTAAGTTTATAAGAGAAAAAACCCAACACAATAGCTAGATAATTAAATCTAAATCAAACTGTTACTGTTTTTAGAAATTTGCCAAATTGAAATGCTGTCACGAATAACTTAATTTAGAAAAAACCCACATAAATAGCAATTTGGGGATGAAAGAAGCTGGAAGCGTCCTTCATTAGGGAATATTAAATTATAGTGCCACCCCAGCTCCACACTCAATTGCTGCTTAGATATTCCATACAAAGATGGCCATTGTTTAAGCAAGAACATGGACGGGCTCCTTACTAATCTCTCACCGAATTCAATCCCCACCAGAATAATAGGTTGCAACCTGTCAGCCTGCTATCAGACAAATAATGTTAAAATAATATTAAATAAGGTTATTTGACATTAAACTGATAATTAAATAATTTCAGAATAAATACTACGTTGATATTCCTAAAATTAAGAAAAAAAAAATCCATTCTGTGCTGCAGAGATTGAATATGCAGCACTGAGTAAACAGACACACAGAATTAAAGTGTCATTAAACACATTATCTACATTCATTTATCTGTATCAATATTAGGTAGAGCAGCTGGTATCAAAATACCTACATTAGCCCTGTTCCCTGTGTAGGTGGCTTGTGCAGGTTGTTTTTCCCTTACTGCTTGCATCACCGTGCAAATACCAAAGAGAAAGTGAAGCTGGCAAGAACACAGATGTCTTGGGAAGACAGCCTTTCCCAGGCAGCTTCTACAGGTGAGCAAACAAGTCCGAGTGGGAAACAACGAAAGGAAAAAGGACAGCAGTGAAACCATCCGCTCCCTGCCTCAGCTGAAGGGAGAGTTTTCTCTGACAGAGGAGCAGAGGGAGGGAGAGGGAAACTTCACCTGCGAGTCATCTGATCGCACAAAACTCATTGCATACATTTCCAAAGGCGATGTGTTAACATTAAAGTCCCGAAATTCACTGATGCAACTTCAGTTTGTAAAGCATGGACTGGGGAAAGGGAGGAGAGGACCAATGCCTAAGCACGTGCCCATCACGACGGCCGTTCCTGACTGGTTTTCCTCTGTAGCTGAGTGCACTGCAGGATGTTAAATAATTAAAATAACATTCTTGTGTCCCAGAAGCCAATAAATGACAACACAAGATTAATTCTGCCGATTTCTGGATGCTGTGCGTGCTTTACGCAACACACAATCTTCAAACTGATCCAACAAACCACAGATGAGATCGTGGCCCTGAGCGCACCAAACAGCACCTGTCTAGAGGAGCATCTACTTACCCAACCTGGGCATAACTGCCCCCAGGAACTGTTCGTCTTCCTGAAAATGGTTTTCCTGTAGCGATTCGAGCAGTTTCTGTAAGACATCCTGAGGCACTTTGCAGCCTGTGCCTTTCAGTTCAGTGAATCGGGTCAGACGGAAGCTTTTGTCCAGTTCATAACTTTCTGGGTTAAACGACTCCCGAACAGACATGGTTCTCTCGCACAGACTGTTGGCCTTTCCCACCTCACAGCAACGGTATCTGCTGATCAGTCTAATTAAAAGAAAAAAAAAAAAGATTAAAAATTGGGAACATTAGAAAATCCTAGGACCTACAAGACAACAGGTTTTCCACACAGAGCAAGTTAGAGGACTCAACATTATTCACTTTTAAGACAGGTGGGCACCGTTACTCTAAGACTACAAAGGAACGACACCTCTTCCTACCTTCCGGCATTTAAAACTGTAACTATGCCAGGCAAATCAGGGTTTTGGGGGTTTTTTTCCTCCTCCAGATATGCTGCAGAAGAAGTTTTTCATTAAAAGAAGAATCTAACACCCCGACCTCATTTAACGCAGAGGTAAGGGAAGAAATAATAGTTTGCAGAGCACTGAGGCCAATTTCCACAAAGGCAGCCTGGGCCCTGATCCTGCAAGACGCTCAGCGGAGACATCTGTTTGCACTCAGCTCAGCGCAGGGTCATCATTTTGGCCACTAACATATTACTCTCAAAAATAAGGTGCTTTTTGAAAAATGGCTCAGCTGATGTAAGAAGCCGAAACTCCGTAATACACCTGTTCTCCTTGGGGGAAAAGGCAAACCCGGTGTTCTGTTAGTACAGGTCACAGAAGAACAAAGAGGCTGTATTCAATCAAACTGGTTTACCTACAAACATGCCAGTTTACCTTTTAGTACCTTCGCAGACATAAAAACGTTGAAGAGTTTCTCGCCTCTCGAGTCCTTTTTTAGTCAACTAACAATAACGGAGAATACAGAGAATTGCCCATTAAAATGGTAACGTAAAAAGACACTGATGCAACTCATTTAATAAAATTCTTAACAATGCACGTCTAATTTTAGAACGTTTTTCCACTCTGACTCACAGACACCACACTCCAAAACTAATAAGAGGCCTAACCAAGACACTGACTTCTAAACAGGAACGGCTGTGATAAAACCCAATTAATCTTTCTCAGAGAAGAAGTTTTCAGGAATTACTAAAAACAACCTGTCTGCAGTAGTTTCTTAGAAAGCTCGGATCCCGCCTAACAACGAGAACAGAGTTCAGCAGCATCGCTGACAAAACCTGATACCGAGGGTCATGCCGCTGCGAGGTTAAGCTGAAAAGCAAAAAAGAACGAGCGCGAGTGACGGGTATTCGCCAAGTTCGACAGCATGAAATGTTGAGAAAGAAGTAAATCTACAGACCGTGCAACCCGCCTCCCCTCCACAGCGCTTACTAACAAGTATACCCCTTCCCTAAACCTTCGGGTCTACCAGTTTACTGTGTGTACTTCGTAAGAATTGAAGTTTTAAGCTCCCTGAGAACTTGTGATGTGGAGCCCGACTCCCCTTTACAGTGCTTTCCCTCCTTCTCCAGGAGGCGTGGCACTTATTTAAAACAAAATCTTCCAAAGCCCAGGCTCGGGCAGTAATCCAAACTCCAGTTACAAGAACGTGTCTTGGATGAGCAATGAATTCAGTTCGTGGCTGTTGTCGTCCAATGCAAGACACTGAGCACTTGAAATCAAGAAAAAAAAAAAAAGGAAAATAAGATAGCGTCTGGAAAACAACCTGTCAACAGAAAGGGGAGACAAAAGCTTTCCAAGGAAGGGGATTTTTTTTTCCCTCTCCTTCATTCTTTTTTAACACTTCGTTCTAATTAATTCCAGAAATTTATAAAAAGCAGCATGCCCCACAAGGGGAACATTTTCCTTCCTCTAAGCAGTAATTGCAACACGCTTAGCACCCCCTACCTACTTACACAGGGAAGGATTCGGAGGCCACAGCCTCCCAGAACTTTTTGCAGCCTCGGGGACTGTAAGGCCACAGTAAATTAACGTTCCCCGGTTAGAAAACAAACCCTGAAATAAAGCAGGCGATTGCATCGGAGGCAAAACGTCCGCGGTGCAATAACGAAACAGCTTTTTAACGAGGACCTGAATAAAGCTGCGCGCAGCCATGTATTTTGCAGAATGTCTTTCCTCGCAGGACCAAGCTCCCCGCGAGCGCTGGCCAAGCTGTGCAAGAGGCGACCTGAGCGCCAAGCATCCCGCCCCCCAAGCAGGAGAAACACTCCCCAGGTTTCCCGCTTTAAAAAAAACCGGCATAATAAATACAGAAGAAAACCCGAAAAGTTTAACCCTTGCCGCCCCAAAGCGCGGAGAGCACGGGAGCGAAAGGGGAGAGCGAAGGAGGT